ACATTTATTAACATCACTAAGGTTGCTGGGAAAAAGGATAAAAAGCCTTGCTGTGGGCGATGTGAAAGGTACAAGTTCATAAGTCAATACTGTAATAAATATTTCATGATCAAGGTTACTTAACTGGTGTATGAGTATTTTTTCTAAAATATTTCATTCTTCTCTTTTGGTCCTTGATCATGATTAGAGGAGAAGATTTAATTTATACACACTAACAAAATAGAGAATTCTTACATTATGTTTCAAATATTTTTCAGTTTAGAATAAATAGAGTGAACATTTACTAGAAAGAGATCAAAAATTAAATAAGGGTAACTAAGCCAAATAATATTTACTGCTATAAAGAATGTACAAAAGCTAAAATGACAAGTAAATAGAAATAGAAAAAGTACATTTTTATTTTATTCTCCATCTTATTCCACTTTTGTGAATTACTTGTAATTATCTTTTATTAGGTAATGTGAAAAGTGTGTAGAAGTTCAACTTTAGAGGAGATTAGAATAGTTAGCCTAATGCAGCAGAGTAATTTTCAGTAACAGAAAAATAAGTAAATAAATTAAATAATAGGGATTGTAAGCCCATCCTTCAAGTTGTTAACCAACTAAACGGCCATATAAATATATTGTGAAAATAAACACTGACCACCAAAGGATGTGGTGCAGAGGATGGGACTGCTCTTTCCTTAATCAGAGGTCTCGGGTTCGAGCCCTGGATATGGAATCCTTGGTAGGGAACGTTTCCCCCGAATGGGGCCCTACGCGGCGCGAATCCGGATTAATTGGACTCCATTAATACGGATACCGAACACCGGATGGGAAACAAAAAAAAAAGAGAAAATAAACAGTGAAATTAATGGTTGGTTATCTTACATTAGCTAATTCTGATTCAACTTGCAAGAACCCATCTTTTAGGTGCTTTCCTCGTATTATTTCCGAATCAGTAAATCCTAACGTTGCAATGGTAATTGAGATTTCCGGAGCCAATTCAAGTCTCATAGTCTCGTAAAAGCCTATTAATGCAGCTTTACTCGCCTGTAAAACCAATACAATTAATTAACATAACAACAATATATAAAAATTAATATAAAGAGAAGAATTAATTAGTTAATTAAGGGGAATAAATTAAATAAAACTAAAAGTAGTTTCTTACAGTATAGAAGCTTAAGGATGGCGGGTACAAAATTGCCACGGATGAAGAATTGACAAACACCTTCCCTCTTGTCTTCTTCAGATGAGGAATTGCAAAGTAAGTTGGGTAAACAGATCCCCAGAAGTTGATATCCTTTTATCAAGGAACAATAGGCAAAAAATAGTTACGAAAATTAGTTCTACTTTATTTATTTTCAAAAACCTTCAAGGAAATAGTTCTACCTTTTTATTTATAGAATACAACTACTATTAATTTCGAAATGATGCCTATGTAAACATTACCATAACAGATGTAAACGTCGTAATGTCCGTCACATCATTGATAGAGCACACAGAGGATATTCCAGCATTGTTGACGAGATGATCCACTGCATGCATGTAATTATTAACCTCTTTTACCGTGAATACGTAGTTAATTATGGCAATAGAAAATATCATAAGACTACACTCTTCCTATTCGGATTTAACTTACAATGTCAAGAATTTCACTCTATTAGTCTACTTTAATCTCCCCTTCTTATTTTTATACTAGACTAGAGTTTTTGTCATGTGAAATGATAATGCAAGTAGTTTTACACTATTTGACCTACAATAACATGTAAATCTATGTACCAAGATCAATAAGTACGAACGGCCCTAAGGCTAGGCCAATGAGGCCGTTGCCTTTGGTTCCCAAAATTTGAAAGCCCCAAATTTACTGTACACTACTATTATTGCTGCTTTTACTATTATTATTATTATAAAAATCAAAATTTTAATTTTGAGTTTCGGACCTCAACATTGGATAATCCAGCACTTTATTCTTTGTGCTCTTCTTCCTGTATTTTTTTTTGAAACTCGCTATTTTTTGTCTTAAATGATTAACTTGTTATTTAGAAAGCAAATTTTTGTGTTAATGTACAAATTTTATAAAATAAATTTAAGAGCCTCTTAATATGGTTTTGTCTTAGGCACGAAATCATTGAGCCGTCCCTGTCAATAAGCTTAATACATGCTAATAAATTGGAAATCAGAATAGCTAATTACAACGACCGAAATGATTGACAGTTTGATCAACAAGTCGCTTGCAGTCGTCAACGTTGGATACATCAGCTCTTATAGAAAGCACATCCGGAGACCCTAAGCTCCTTGCCTTCTCCGCTACTTTTCGAAGCTGCTCCTCCCTTCTCGCCACTATTACTATTGAAGAACCTCTTCTTGCATATTCATAAGCCAATTCCTATTAATCCACAAATATAATTTTCTAAAACTGTATCCGTAAGAAGAAAAAAATATCGAATTACGTTTAATATATAGTATAGGTACACTAAAAATAATTAAAATAGTAAATACACTGAAAAATTCAAGGGAATTTTAGTATGTATGCATTAAAAAGAATTTAGTAATCTACATAATAAAATATTCGGAGTATCAACTGACACCTCAAGGATAAGGAACAACATTCTTGTTTACTACGACTATAAACATATTTTTTCAAAAATTCGAAACCTTTTCATAACAGAAATGTTTTTTTTCCCCATAAAAACCACTTCCATATTACAAACTTCCCAACATAAACCATGCATGTAAAGATTATGTCTAATGAGATTTTTTAAACTTAAACAAAGGAGGAAAGAAAGAAAGAAAAACGCATAGGACGGCGAACCTCCCCAATTCCTGATGAAGCGCCAGTGATGAGAACAACTTTTCCTTTCATGTTCTCATTTACCACAAGCCGATACAGAAAAAGCACGATCCTAAAGATGCAAAAGAAGGGGAAAATGACACAGAGTGTGCCAAGAACTAATGGAGTAATGAGTAGAGTGGCGAGAGTGTGAAAAGAATAGTAATTAGAAGCCATAGTTGTGAAATTTGATGTCAGTCGTGTACTACTCCTCAATAATGGTGGGAGATTGTGTGTTGGGGAACCATATTTATAGAGTGCACGTTTCACTCCAGTGAACAGCTCCTAATATAGGAGAGCAATAAATTGAAGTGAGTTTGATTAGTCCTTGCTATATGTACTCCCTCATAACCCATTTAATTGTCATTTTAGCCTTTTGCACTCCCTTTAAGAACATTAGTATAAGAGTTACTTGAATTAATTGCTTTTATATTCTTTGATTTCTCAATCTTATTACCTTTTTTATCCTTAAAATCGGATAACAATTAAACTTATAAGTGGTTTTAAGGATATGTAATTTCACCTAGCACCAGTTGATAAATATGATGATTAATAGTAGAAATAAACAATAAAGTAAAGCAAACCAGTATTGAAATGCTATTCAGTCCTCAAGCTAGGTCGCCCTCGAACTGAGTGAGTGAGAGTGAAGTTAAGAAATAAACTGATGAACAAGAGAGTATGAGATAAAAAGAGTATTGTATTGCTTTGATATGCATGAATGTAAGATGATTACAAATTGTTACGACCCTCTTTATATAGTAGAGAAATCATATTTACGGTATAGTTCTAATTACAGAAGGAAAACCCACGATTAGCTAAAAAACCGTCCTTGACTTGATCTGTTCCGAGATTTCTGCCGTGATTCTCGACCAGTCACGGGTATCTCACCTTTCCGTTTATGCTATCTTGGGTCTTGCTCGAGTTCGATCTCGATCATACTGGTCNTAAAAACCACTTCCATATTACAAACTTCCCAACATAAACCATGCATGTAAAGATTATGTCTAATGAGATTTTTTAAACTTAAACAAAGGAGGAAAGAAAGAAAGAAAAACGCATAGGACGGCGAACCTCCCCAATTCCTGATGAAGCGCCAGTGATGAGAACAACTTTTCCTTTCATGTTCTCATTTACCACAAGCCGATACAGAAAAAGCACGATCCTAAAGATGCAAAAGAAGGGGAAAATGACACAGAGTGTGCCAAGAACTAATGGAGTAATGAGTAGAGTGGCGAGAGTGTGAAAAGAATAGTAATTAGAAGCCATAGTTGTGAAATTTGATGTCAGTCGTGTACTACTCCTCAATAATGGTGGGAGATTGTGTGTTGGGGAACCATATTTATAGAGTGCACGTTTCACTCCAGTGAACAGCTCCTAATATAGGTGTTTACCCTCGAATCCGGATAACAATTGAATTTATATGGGGTTTTAAGGATCCGTGAACTAAAAGATACAAAAGGTTTTTAGGTTGAGGAAAAATAAAGATAAAGACTCAACAATCCGGATAACAATTGAATTTATATGGGGTTTTAAGGATCCGTGAACTAAAAGATACAAAAGGTTTTTAGGTTGAGGATCCTTAAAACCCCATATAAATTCAATTGTTATCCGGATTCGAGGGTAAACAATAGGAGAGCAATAAATTGAAGTGAGTTTGATTAGTCCTTGCTATATGTACTCCCTCATAACCCATTTAATTGTCATTTTAGCCTTTTGCACTCCCTTTAAGAACATTAGTATAAGAGTTACTTGAATTAATTGCTTTTATATTCTTTGATTTCTCAATCTTATTACTTTTTTATCCTTAAAATCGGATAACAATTAAACTTATAAGTGGTTTTAAGGATATGTAATTTCACCTAGCACCAGTTGATAAATATGATGATTAATAGTAGAAATAAACAATAAAGTAAAGCAAACCAGTATTGAAATGCTATTCAGTCCTCAAGCTAGGTCGCCCTCGAACTGAGTGAGTGAGAGTGAAGTTAAGAAATAAACTGATGAACAAGAGAGTATGAGATAAAAAGAGTATTGTATTGCTTTGATATGCATGAATGTAAGATGATTACAAATTGTTACGACCCTCTTTATATAGTAGAGAAATCATATTTACGGTATAGTTCTAATTACAGAAGGAAAACCCACGATTAGCTAAAAAACCGTCCTTGACTTGATCTGTTCCGAGATTTCTGCCGTGATTCTCGACCAGTCACGGGTATCTCACCTTTCCGTTTATGCTATCTTGGGTCTTGCTCGAGTTCGATCTCGATCATACTGGTCTCGATCTCGACAGGTATCTCGAATCCCGAACTCGGTACCTTATCCTCGTGTCTCGGTCTGACATGCTATGGGCCCGATCTTCGACCTATCCCCTGGTCCCGATTAATCAGTGAAATCGGGTGGGCCCGGTTTTTACCGTATAGAGATAGTCCTCTCGTTTTTTGGAGTATAATGACAAGAAACAAATTGAGTCCTCGATCTTTATCCCGATTTGTCATGATGTCATCACCGTGACATAAGCGACAGAAGTGACCGAAACGTCCAATCGGTTCAATTTCCCAAGCATTTAAGGCGCGTCAGTCCGGTCGGCCACTAGAACCTCTGAACCGTCGTCGTGAAACCCATAAATAGGCCTCTTTTCCACTCTTTCAAACTTTACTTTTAATCTCTTCTGCTCTAATCTTCAAAACTCCTTGAATCCTTCAAGTTCTTTATCTGCAAATCTTCAAGTTTCATTGCTAACCTCTTTTTTCCAAAATATCGAATATCCTAATCCCCGTTCTTCCTTGTTCACAAAAATGGCTAAGACCTCCAAAACCGTTCCGCAGAAAGAGAAAACCTCCTCATCTCAACCAACAGCGGAGCCACGCCCTGAAGAATTCTTTCCTCCGCCATGCATTCTTAACTCTGACTTTAAGGTTGAAAAGACCCCCTCGGTTCCAGGGCGATGCGAGCCAATGTCGAGGTACATATGTACAATCACCGGTGACCTCCTAGAACAAGTTAAAAAGGATTGCAACTGGGTAAATAAGCACGTGGTGGTGCCCTCGCCTGAGGAATCAATCACCACATATGAGGAGGGGTTTCTGAGTGTTTACACCTACCCTTTCACATTAGGTCCTCTAGATCCAATTATCGTGGACTTCTGCAAGAAGTACGTGGTTACCCTCGGCCAAATTCATCCTTCTTTTTGGACGATAGTGATATTGCTTTAATTTTTTTATGAGCAAAGTCGAGGGGCTTCCCTTCACCCTCGACCATCTCATTCGCCTGTATAGCCCCCGAATTTATCGGGGAGGATTAGTGAAGCTTCAACGTCGGGCCAACAAGACGGCCTTCTTGAGCATAGATGAGGACAAGGACCGGGGTTGGATGTGCCGATTTGTCCGAGTAAAGACCTCGGACATGATCCCGGCCGAAAGCATGCCATTTCTGGAGAAATGGAATATGAAACGTAAGTATAATTCCGTCTTTTAACTTCTGTTTATTATCTCTACTTTTTCATCTTTTCTTACCAGCATTTTATTTGGTTCAGCCATTGCCTGGATGCCGGGTGCGATTCCCCATCTCGAGAACTAGGTCAGGAGCCTAGTGTCGACATCAAAACACGCTGAGCGCACATGGCGCAAATTGTCGAAGGTTCGATGGGAGGCCCAAAACCACGGTAAGTTTTCGCATGTCTTGACAATTTGATCGTTATCCGGATTTTCCCTCGATTTTACTTGTCTTTCTTTTGCAGATCTAGGGAAGGACATCCTGATGAGGCCCCCATCTGGTGAAGATGAAAACTCACTCCTGCCCTGAAGCCCGCAAAGGAAAGCAAGAGGAAAAGGGCTTTAACTTCCAGGGGGCCAGAGCCTAAGAATAAAGCGACTCGAAAGTCCAAGAAGGATGTGATTTCGCCGTATATGGAGTTAGTTCATTCCTAAGAGAGGAGGAGGAAGAAGAAGAAAAGGAGGATGATTCCGGTCTGGTGGCTCGAACACGAGCTAATATCGAGGGTCAAAAGGCCACCGGATCAGTCGAAACTGGAAATATTCTGCCTCGATCTGACGGGGCCCAAGAGTGGATTCAGTCGGAGTCCCTGAGCTGACTGGAGCTGAGGGTACCTCAATTCAGGGTGAGAAGGCATCGGAAATAGCAGTGGAGGCCAGTCCCGAGGTTCCTCGAAATAGGGAGAACACCCCAAGTGACCCACTTGGGGCAATAGAAATCGGAGATTCCCCTTCGCTTCCTTCATTCTCCAAAGAAGAAGTTCGGGAGGCTCGGGCCATGAAGACTCCTCACGTAGAGGGCGCCCAAGGAGAGGAGAATCTTTTCCGTGGTTGTTTCGCTGTGGTCGATGATGCCGCTGGGTCGAGTTACTTGGAGGCACCGAGGAAGGGTTTGGGCGAATCTTCCTTGAGTTTCAGATTGATTAGCCAGTTTCCACCCCCTAGTGTCAATCCTGAGTGCAAACGAACAATCATCATTTTGATCCCAAAGGATGCACGAGCTTTTGTCGCCTCCATAAGGGTGGATAGTTACCTTCAGAGTCTGGTCACCGAGGAAGACCAAGCTCTGATGGATGAGGTGGAGAACCGTGTCTCTGCAATGAGGCCCAGCAGGCTTTGAATCGGGTGAGCCCTAAGTTTCTTTGCCAATACTAGTCTCGGTGCTTCATCATGAAGCTTTCTTTAGGTCTAGAGGGGAGCTAAGCTGATATGAGGCCGAAATTTAAGGGCTTACTAAGGAGAGAAACTCTCTCAAGCTTCTCGGTGAGAAAAAAGAAGAAGAAATCAAGGGCCTCTGAGCTGAGCTGGCTGCGGCTCAGAAAGAACAGAGCGAACTGATCGAGTATGTAATAAAAGTCTTAGATGCGCATGGCATCGGTTCGGGAGTGATGGATAACAATTTCGATCTCACAGGTCCAGCGGCTACACGAGACGATCGGTCAACTCCGTGGCAAGGTAGATACGGTGAAGGCGGTGACCATAGCATAGAAGAAAAATATGTATAGCCTTGCCTCAGAGAAAGACGTTGCTCGAGCCTAGTTGTCCTCGGCTGAAAGTCAACTTCAAAGCATGAAAGAGAAGAACTTGGCACAAGACAAGAAAATTTAGAAGCTTCAGGCTCGGTTGGTCACAGAACTTGCAGCGACCAAATCTAAGGCTGAGACGGCTGTGGCCAATGTTGAGGCAATCGTGGATGTCTAACAGTCCGATGCCGAAGCCGCTCAAGTTCGAGCAAAGGAGGTTGCCGATAATGCCTAGAATCGAGCCTACTGGGTTACCGAGCATGCCAAGTGTTAGTCTCAAAGGGAGACTCTCGAGGAGCTCCACGCTCGTGGCTTCGATCTTACTGTCGACATCAAAAATGCAGAAGAGCTTGAAGCGAAGCCAAAGCGCTGCTCTCTTCTGATGATGATGATTCCGGGAGCGTGAGGGAATCCGAGACCGGAGAAGACCCCAAGGGAGAAGATGTTGCTCTTGGAGAAGATTAAGTGCTTAGGGTGTTTTTTGGATTTTTTGCATAGAATTCCCATCGGGCCATGTTGCCCTTGTAAATAAGTTTTGACGTATATAAAGGTCTCTTTTTTTGTCTAATGCATTTTCATTTCATTTCAGACTCATGAAATTTGTGCTTCATTTATGCCTTATGAAATTATTATTCATAGGCTCGAGGGTTAGGCAATTCGACTGAACTGGCACTGTTTCTGCAAATCAGATTAGAAATAAGGGAACCCTCAGGTTTTATTTGAATGAGGACGATCTTTCGTCGAGAGCAAAAAATAACCCTTAGGCTTAAAAACATTCCCCGAGTGAGAATTTATTCGAACTTGAGTTGAAGTAGCCCTTGGGCTTAATGATCGACTGAGGACATGCTCGAACTCAGAATTAGGTAGCCCTTAGGCTTTCTAGTCAAGTGAGAAGGATTTCTCAAACTTGAAGTGAAAGTAGACTTTAGGCTTTTTGTATGTTTTGTAGCCGATCTGGGCTTTGTAAAACGATCGTATATATAAGGCTTTTTCTACCCTTTTTGGCTTTTAAAGTTTTTCCTTTGTTTATCATTTGCGTTCACAAAGTTTATAATGTCTTAACATGAAATAATAAAGTTATGTTCGAGGGTTCAAAAATTTTTGTACCCGTTAGGGTTTTCGAGGCTCGATACTATCAAAGCCCTTTCTAATGTTGCCGAGGGTAGCCTTTTTAACCGGTTTATGAGAATATTGGAAGGCCTATTTTATTACAGAATTTGGAGGTCTCCGAACCGTGTCAATTTGGCCGTAGCCTTTAGTTTGGGATTTGCCTCTTGGGCTTGTTTTCCCGTTATACTTCGAGTTTGTTCGAAGTGTCAGTCCCCAAGTGGG